CACCACCACCATCATCATCACCACCATCATCACCACTATCCCCCCCACCACGCCCATCCCCCCACCACGCCCATCACCACCATCATCACCACTGTCCCCATCACCACCATCACCATCACCACCACCATTATCATCACCAGCCCCACCTCCCCACCCTACCCCCACCACCCATCACCACCCTCACAGTCCCCACCACTATTTCATCATCACCCTCTTCACCATATAATCACCACCACACCTATTCCCACCATCACTGGCATGACTCTCCCCATTGTCATCATTGCTGCTGTCCTTAGCCAGGCCAAGTGTACACCATCATGCTGCCAGCAATGGTGAGGTCACCTTGCCTGCTGAAGTGAGCCTGTGGCCCAGCCCACACTTCCAGTCTTACGCTTGGGCCCTCTGGGTTCTCCCAGTTTGTCCTTCACGAGAACATTCTGAGAGCGTTGTCTGGGGAGACAACCCTGGCACTGGGGACCTCTGACCAGGGCCCAGGCTCACGGGCCCCTGCAGGGCTCTCTCACCATCAGTGGGGTTGGCAAACTCCTTGGGCACAGCTGCTCCATCGTCCAGCTCAACGGCTTCTAGGCCCACTCGGACCCCTTCGATCTGGACCTCATGCTCTCCTGAAGCCGTGTCGTCCTCTGACCTTGCACTCTCCCCTGTGCGACGGAACTTCACCACCCTAGAGAAGAGAGCAAGTCTGACCAAGATGGCTAGAACTCCCCTTCAGCGGCCTTGCTGCATAGCTCTTGTACCCAAGACAGGTGAATGATCTTTTTTCATGGAGAACTGAACCACTGGAAACTGGCATTTCTATGAAGTTGCACTCGGTGGAAAGGAGTAACAACTTCAAAAGTTATCAGGGTTGCCATGTGCAGCTGGACGGACTGGGCACTGCACAACTCCAGGAGGGTCCCATTCCAACGGTGTGCTATGTGAAGGAGGCTGTCCCTGTTCTAGACCTCAACACCACACAGAAGCGCAATCACACATCACTTACCAACAGGGTCACATTCTGAAAAGCAGTTCCCTAGCTGTGAATCACAGAACTGACTTACACAAACTAAAGTGTGTAACATTATCTAGGTGACATAATCTTGTGGAGCCCCTATCGTAATGAGGTCCATCCTTGCCCCAAAGTCATTATGCAGGGTATGACTGTATATTTGGTTCAGAACTGAGACTCAGCTAGGGGTATGTAATAGAAGGAATAATTTTGGTCACTTAAAACTTATGTTAGGCTCATAAAATGTTGGTTGCAAGATAATTTTTTAAAATTTAAAGTGGTTGTCCAAAAAAATTGAATTGGGAGAATTCACATTTTAAAAAATAAATAGGTTTCCAGTATCTTATAAAATAAGGTACTTGCTATCAGGAGCCGGCAAGATCTGAGGCTAGACTCAGTGGTGCCCCCTGTAGGTGGGGCATGCACAGTGCAGGTGACTCATCTCCAGATCTCCCCACAGTCCTGACTGCATTTGCCTCTCATTCTTACATTTGCTCTGCATCCGTCCAACCCTGGCACTTTGCCCCACCTGCCTGGTTCCCTACACACTTGAGCTGGGGCACCCAGGCTCCACTCTCAACAACTCACCCCTTCAAACTGTGCTGTTTCTTGTTACCGTGGGACAAGGCTTGTTTCACATCTGGAAATCTCATCTGGGACACAGAGGCAGAACCATCTGCTTCCTTCCGACGCCATTCTCACTCCCAGACAGAAACCCGTGCTAGGTTTGAGGTGACAGCCCTGACAGCCAGATGGGTCCTGTCCTCACAGCCTCCCAAGCGAGAGCAATACCCCGAGACTGATGCTCATGTCTATCAGATCTGGAGAAAAGTCCTGGGTCTCAGAGGCAAGAGTAGCAGAAGGTCTGTGTAAGTAAATGGTTGGAAAATTTGATCAATCTTTTTAAGCTAGGAAAGAGCCAGGCACAGCAGTGCGCATTTGTCATCCCAGTACTCTGGGAAGCTGAGGCAGGAGGATCACAGGTTCTAGCCTAACCTAGGCAACTTAGGGAAACCTTGCTTCAGAATAATGAGAGAGAGGGACTGGGAGATGGCTCAGTGGAATAAGTGCTTCC